CGGGAAGGAGAGGGGGCTCACCATGCCTGCCGAGTGGTTCCAGGCTGCAGCCGGGACAGGATCTCCTACCCGGTTCCGACGGGTGAGTACCTCTGAGACAGTGAGGCTACTTTGGGTCCTTCTGGAAGAGAGCTCAGAGGCATCCCCTGAGTTTCCTACTCTTCGAGTACCCTGCTCAGAAAGGTAGGGCCTGGGCTGTTCCAGTTCTGAGAAGTCTGTGGAAGACCTCTGGGTGTAGGCATTGGTAGATTCCACGTTTTTACCTATTCGAGTTGGGGTGTCTTCTAAAGAAGATTTCAAGTCTCGCCTGCTCTTCCAGGCATTCCGCACAGTAACATGCCTGGCATCTGAGGAGCCCACTTCTGAAGGGGCACTATGGCTTTTCCACCTGATTGTCTCCGCTGGGGGTGCATGGCTATTCCTCTCTACAGGATCCGATGGCTTGATTATAATGCTGCTTCGAGAGACCACTGTTTCTGGTCTGTTCTTTAGGGGCCCATCTCCCGTTCTTTCAGCTTCGGACAGCTGCAGTGTGATGTCGTGTTTGTGAATGGAGAGCTCGAACGGGGAGCCGACGTGGTTGCTAACAGACGCGTGCTCTGGAGGGCCGACCTGGATGTTGCTGGTGGATGTGTGCCTCTCCCTCAGGGTGTCACCTGGGGTGGCTCGAGGACTGCTGCTGTCAGAGGGGTAGATAGTGATGCTGCTTGTGACTTTGTTTGGCCCTGGTTTGGAGGTGGATTTCTGTTTTTCCAAAATAGCTTCGGTGCCAGACCCTCCCATGATTTTTTTCACATCTTTATCAATGATGACAGGTTTGATGACAGCTCTGGACCGCAAGGCCTCTCTGGGGCTGAAGGGCCTTTGGCTTTTTGCTCCTGCACCATTGGCATCTGGGAACTCTACAGCATTGGTGGAGCCTCTGACAGGTTTCACAGATTCGCTTTCTGCTCCAGCATCTTTATCATTCTCAAATAGGGCGGCTCGGGGTCCCCCTCGGGATTTGGCCTTGTCTCTAGAGTTAGGTTGTAGCCTGGGCTCTGGCTCTGGAGTGATGGTTGTATTTACCAACTTGGCAGTTACAAGAGATGTTATGTCCAAGTCCTCGTCCGAGTCTGGCTTCTCTTTGCCACTGGATTTGATGACACGGTACCTCAGGGCTTCATGTTGGCCGTCTTCCGTCACACCTGCTCCGGCATGATCTGCGCCTTCTTTATTTGGGGTTGAAAAGCCCTGAAGGATATTTTCTTGGCTTCTGGAGCTGTAAGGATACTTTGATAAAATAGGAGCCTTGGAATTTGGGGAACTAGTGTCAGCCTCCAGGCCATTGGCAGCCTTTTTGCCCTTAGAGAGTCCTTCCGAGGAAGATCTTCGAGATGAGGCCAGAGCGCCAACGGCTTTAGAACAGCCAGAGTCTGCAGCCTGAGTTATTTGGCTTCCATTGCCAGGCACCTGTCCCCTCTTGCCAATGAGGGCCTCAGAGGAGGTGTCAGAAGCCTTTTCAGCTCTGCCTAATATGTCATTGGGAACAGATCCGTGTGTGGTGTCACTAAACGTTCGTGTTGCCTTCTCTACTTTTCCCTTCAAACCACTCTCAGTGCCTGACTTGGGAGTTCCCTTCCAAACTTTACTGTGCTCCTGGGCAGCTGGGGGGTAGCGGCTAAGCACCGATGGCTGCTCCCTGGACTTCTTCCCCTCACTCTGGGAGGATCCAGGGGCAGATCGGTCCTCGGTTTTCTTTGTGTCCTGAGTCCCACTGTCTGTACCTGCCCCTGTATTGGAAGCCTTGGCTGCCCTTCTGCTGGCAAAATTGGGAGAGGAGACCTGCCTGGTACTCAGGGAGTAGTTTTCATTGTTGAGAGTAAACTCTCTGTTTCGGAGTCTTTCTCGCTTATGCTGAGGAGAGAGCTCCCGGGCTGTGTGCTTGGACACAGGTGCCTCGTTCCCATGGCCTCTAAACTTAGTCCTCTCATGTCTGCCTTTGCTGGACAGGAAAGCTTCTTCCCCTTCCACCTCCCCATTTTCTAACTCCTTCTGCTTCTTGATTTGTAACTTTATTTCCTCCAGCTGGCTGGCTAGCAATTTGTTTTTATTTTGTTCGCTGAGGTAATTATCCTGAAGGTCATTATTCTTGGCTCTCATTTTCTTGAGCTCTTCTTCCAAGGATTCAAAATGTTTGATTTGCGTCTTCAGTTTCTCAATCTCTTGGTTAAGGTCTTTGACTTTGTTGTCTTCCTGATTTCGGTTCTTTTCATTTTCGGATTTGTTTCTTGTTTCATTCTCTACCTGCTTCAGGTAGTCCAGAGTGCCTTTCCTTCTGGATTCTTTGGTCTGCAGTGTGGACGAGATCCCGTCCTCAATCCGGAGGTCGTTCCTTTCCAGATTGGAAGCATTCCTTGTATAATCTCTGTTCGTTTTTTTGTTCTGCTCCAGTTTCTGTGTGAGCTCTTTTATCAATTTCTCATTCTCTTTCTCCTTTTCATTCAAGTATTTCCTCTCACTTACAAAGCTCAGAGTTAATGCTTTGAGCTTCTCTAACTCTGACACTAAATTCTGCTCAGTTTTATCCAGGCGGTCCTCAGAAGATTCCAGTTCTTTCACTTTGACTCTGAGCATTTCCAACTCAGAGGAGATTTTCTTGGTCAGATTTCTCTCCTCATTCAGGCTCAAACAAAGCTGGGTACAATCATTCTTACTCCTGCTAAAGGCCTCCTCTAGCTTCTCTAATTCAGCCATTCGTTTCTGAAGCCGCTCAATCTCAGATTTCAGCTCCCGGGTGAGGTTTTCCTCCTCTTCAAGCTTCTCCTTCATCAGATGACAAAGGTCCTCTGCTCTCTTGATTTCCTCATCCTTGCCTTCAATTCTCAGCACCCGCTGGCGCAGCACTTCAATCTCAGCCAGCATGCTGGAGTTGCTGCCTTCCGCCTGAATCACTTTGTCCTGGAGATCCAGGAGCTCATCCTCTGCTTTCTGGAGGTTTTTGGTGGCTTCCTCCAGCTCATCAAGGCGGCGGCTTAGACTCTGTAACTTAAACCGCAAGTGACGGCTGGAGGCGGTTTCCTTGTAGCTTGTAACTTCAGCCATGTCTACTGCCAGCCAGTGTGGGCTCCTAGAGGCGTCCGATTCTGCTCCAGGGGATGAGAAGCTGTTACCTTTCTCTTGGCATCCACAACCTTCTCTGACAGCTGGAAACCATTATAAGTCTACAAGAGGAAAGCAGAAAGTGTGTTGGTCAGCAAGTCTGAAACATGCACTTCCACTTCCAGCCATACAGAGTCCCCAACTGTAATCACTGTGCTTCGAGCACAGCAGGTGCTCATGTGTGTCGACTAAGTAAATGAATGAACTTGTAAGAAAACATGGCACAGTACGGCTAACACTGGGCGGATGCCACTAGTGGCAACACGGCAGAAAGACACAGAAGGTGGGGCCAGTGGGTGGTATGGTGGTTAAGGCGCTGTATCCCACATGGCCAAATGTGTGGATTGAGTCCCAGACCTGGCAGCTTGAAAAACATGCTACATACACGTGTGTCCATGTCCAAAGTCCTAGGTGGCGGGTAGAGAAGGAATTGAGGTGTGGCTACTCCCCTGGGGGAGTCATTTCTCACTTTCCCTCTCTCTCTGTTCCTCTCAGTCTCTCTGGAGAGTCCACATGCTCTATGGCAAAACTTTTTTTTTATTTTAATTTTTTAGGTTTTTGCCTTAGGGCGCATGCCCTTGCTGGAGGGAGAGAGAGACATGGACAGTGACAAGGAAAGTGAGAAATCAACCCCCGGGGAGTATGGCCATGCCACAGTCCTTTCTCCACTCTCCTCCCAGGATCTTTGGGCACAGTCACTGGGCCTGGGACTCGAACTGCAGTTGACCATGTGGGAGTCCAACAACCGCTACAACATCTGATGAAAACTGTTATCCCAAATATACAGAGAATGCTTATCGTTTAACAGTAAGAAAATAATCCGATTTAAAAATGGGCAACAGGGTCAGTCTACTGACCTGTAGAGTGAGCTGAACTGCAATGCTGGATTCACTGGGCAGCTGTGGTTTCAGATCCCTGGTCAGCCTACAGACGTGCCAGGCACACGTGTATGGAGCCAAAAGCCTGACAAGCCAGAAGGCTAGGAATGGGTGGTGGGGTACAATGAGACGCTGCGTCTCTCCTGTGCATGCAAGTGCATGTACACTCTGTACAGTAGGTAAAATTAATAAAACTTTCAAAAAGGCAAAAGACCTGAATAGACATCTCACCAAAGAAGATACATGAGTGGCAAACAGGCCTATGAAGATACACTCAGCATCGTGTACCATGTGGGAACTGCAAATTAAAACAAGATAGCACCAGGCCATCCGGTGGCATGGCGGTTGGGGTGACTGGGTCTCACATGGTTCAGGCCCAGAATTTCAAGAGAAGAGATTGCAGCCTGGCCATTCCCCTTACCCCTTTCTCTGTCTCTCTGGCAAATTAAAACATGATAAAACAACATAAGAACAAGATAGCACCATATGCCTATTAGAATGGCCATCCAAAACACTGACTGCACCGAATGCTGGTGAGGATGTGGTGCAACAGCAGCTCTAACTGCTGATGGAAACGCACAACGATACAGCCACTTCAAGACAGTTTGGCAGTTCAAGACTGATCGTACTTTTTTTTTTTTTTTTTTTTTTTTTTTTTCATTCGGCAATTTCACTCGCTTTTTTGCTATAGGGCATGTGCACTCAACAGACAGAGATAGAGAGAAAGTAAGAAACACCCCCTGGGGGGATGGCCATGCTGCAATCCCTTCTCCATTCTCCTCTCGGGATTTTGGGCACACACACACACGCCCAGCATGAGTTTCAAGCCTTTAGGTCTGGAACCCTAACCTCAGTCAGCCATGAGGGAGTCCAACAATGTAACCATTACGCCATCTGCTGGTCCCAAGACTAACCATATTCTTACCATATGATCTGGCAATCACTGCCTTCGTATTTACCCAAATGAGTTAAAAACTTCTGTCCACACTGGGGCCAGTCAGTGGCATGGTGGTTAAGGCTGCTGGATCCCACATGGCCTACGTCACGGTTTGAGTCTCAGACATGGTGGCTTGCAAAACACCGGGCATGTGTGTGTGCTTGTCCAAAATCCTGAGAGTGGAGAAGAGACTGCGGTGTGGCCATCCCCAGAGTACTCTCAGCTCTTTCTCTGTCTCTCTCCAGAAAGAACATGTGCCCTATAGCAAAACTTAACAATTTTAAAAATAACAAAAAACCTTTGTCTACACAAAAACCTGCGTGTGAATATTTATAGCAACTTTATAATTGTCAAAATTTGAAAAAAACCAAGATGTCTCACTAGGAGAATGGATAAATGGGTATATCCAGGCAATGGAATATTACTCAGTACTAAAAAGAAATACTATATCATGCCGTGAACAGCATGGAGGAGCCTTAAATGCGTATTACTAAGTGAAGGAAGCTGACCTGAAAAGCTACATATTTGATTCCAACTCTATGACATTCTGAAAACGGCAAAACTATAGAGACAGTAAAAGGATCAGTGGTTGCTGGGAGGAGAGAAACGGGGATGAATAGGTGAAGCACAGAGGGTCTTAAGGCGGTAAAGTACTATGCATAATACTACAATTGTGGACATATAACGCTATATATTTGTCCAAACCCATGGAATATTCAACATTAAGAGTGAAATCTTAATATAAACTATGGGCTTTGGGTAATAATATAACTAAACAAACAATAAGGCAGTCCCTTCCATAGGAGAGGTAAAATGCAACACTGCAAGGCAATCCCACAATTCTAGGTCAAGTCCAGAAACCTTCCTGAGCGTCCTGGGCACATACATGAACATGACCTGGTCTCGCTGAAGGGTGGGAGTGGATTATGGCATCAAGACCCTGTTAGGGGTGCTAGGTCTCTTTTTCACTCAAAAAAAAATACATAAACCTAAAAAGATAAGGATTCATGTAACAGTTACTCCAAAAACAGACCACAGGGGGTAAGGGTGGGAGCAAAAAGACCTAGTAAGAGTGGACTAGAGTAATCCAGGCAGATGACAGCTGGCCTGGCCTAGACCGGGACCGTGGCAATGGAGGCAATGAGAAGCAGAATTCCGGCCACACGAAAGCAGAACCAGAGAACTGGCTCACGGACTGCGTGTGTGAAGGGAGAAAGGGGTTCAGGATGACTCCAAGGCTGCTCATCCGAATTTGTAGGATGGTGCTGTCATGAGTTTAAATGGGGAAGGCTGGAGATGGAGCAGTGTGAGAAGGAGGAGCGCAAGTTCACTTGGGGACGTGTCTGAGATGGGCTTTAGACGTCCACATGGAGACATTAGAGAGGCCACTGAATATCCGAGTATAAAGGTCAGGAGAGAGACACAGGCTGAAGGGAAAATCTGTGAGACCACAGTAAACAGATTTAGAAAGTCATAATCTGGATCAGTCTGCCAAGAAACTAAGTATTTAACGACATGGGAGTCCCTGTGGGTGCAGCTTGGTAAAGTGGGAACTATAAAGGCTTGCTTAGAATGAGCTGAGAGGAACCGGGACTGGCCCTGTAGCGTGGCAGTCCAGTGCAACGTCTTGAAAGCCAGACCCTACGTGGGTGCGTGGGCAACTGCAGACCACATCGTTGGCCCCGGGAGCGTAAGAAACATGACAGGTGTGTGTGCCTGTGCCCCAAATCCGACAGGATAGAGAAAGGAGGAAACGAACTGCAGTGCAGTGTACCCCCCTGGGTGTGCTTCCCCTTTATCTCTGGTGAGCGCACTCATCCTCTGACAGTTAAAAGGAAAAAATATTTTAAAGGGAAAATAAGATGAAATGGCAACAGTAAATATTAGTTTCTTTTTAAACATGTTTCGCTGTAAAGCACAGCAAATAAAAGGAGGAGCATCCGACAGAGAGATGTCCAAGTTTCGACTTTTGAGGGCGGGGAGAAAAAAAGCACGTTGTTACAGTGATAAAATGCGATCCAGTAAAGAGGGAAATTTGGACACGCTATAAAAGAAGACCAGACGGTGGCACAGTTAAAACGCCGTGCTGAGGTTGACCATGGAGGGGTCTGGGTTCACATCTCAATATGTCCCTGAATGGGACCAGCAGGTGGAGCTGCGGTTGGTGCTGGGCTCCCACATGGCTGGCTGAGGCAGTCCTGGACCTGGCGGCTTGCACCTCTGCCAGGCACATGTGCATGCGTGCCCGAAATCCCAATAGGAGAACAGAGGAGGAAGGACTGCAGGGTGGCCATGCCCCCAGGGAGTGATTTCACACTTTCTCTGTCTCTCCCGCAAGTGCATGTGCCCTATAGCAAAAAAATCTTTAAAAAAGATAAATACATCCCTGAATGTCCCCGGCACATGAATGCCCGTGATCCAGAGCTGACTAATGCTGGGGGTGGATCAGGGAATCAAGACCCGGTAGGAAGTGCTGTCTCTTTTATTCCTCTTCCTTTCTTTTCTTTTTTTTTTTTTTAAGAGAGATTTTTTGCTATAGGGCACATGTGCTCGCTGGAGAGAGAGAGAGATAGACAGGAAGCAAGACATCACCCCCCAGGGCACCACACACCACAATCCCTTCTCGGGATTTTGGGCACACACGCACGTGCCTGGTGTGAGCTGTAAGCCCCTGGATCTGGGACTTGAACATGTGCGAGAGTCCAGCGACGTAACCATTATGCCATCTGCTGCTGGTCCCTCTCTTCCTTTCTTTCCCCATCTCTCTCACATATGGAAGAAATAAACTTTAAAAAAGGGAATGGGGGGAACCAGCAGTTGGCATAATGGCTATGTCGCTGGACTCCCATGTAGTCGACCGCGGTTCGTGTCCCGGACCCGGTGACTTAAAACTCACGCCGGGCGTGTGTGCGTGCGTGCCCAAGATCCCAAGAGGAGAATGGAGGAGAAGGGATTGCGGCGTGACCATCCCCCCTGGGGGGTGATTTCTCACTTTCTGTCTCTATGTCTCTCTCTGTCTGTCTGGCGAGCGCACACGCCCTACAATGAAAATCTCTCAAAAAAAAAAAAAAATAAAAGGAATGGGGCTCTAGCAACGAGACAAGCACTGGAGAAGAACACAGACAGGTCTATGGAATGGGAAGGCAGAGCATGTATTAGGTTGTCAGAAAAGTCATGACATAATTTTCTATGAAAAATGCATCATGACTTTTCCAACAATCCAAGTGTTGGTTGGGAGGTGAGAAGG